CGCTCATGCAGGACATGAAACTAATGGAAACTAGCAGCGGCCAGGGCACGATGTCATTCGGTTGCGAAGGCCAGTGCAAGTTCGTGCCTTTCGGCAGCGAGTTCACGAAGGAAGTCGTGAAGATCTACGATTTCCAAGTGTTGTGCTCCCTGCGCGACCCGGCCGGCGGCATTGCTCAGTGGGGGAGCAACAGCCGCTCGACTTTCGAGTGCCTGGGCGCTCTGGGCGGCAGGAAAAAGTACGGCGCGTTGGCGGATAACAACACGTACAGAGGTGCGCGGTGCTGGCGCGCCAACGCCGAGGGCGCTCGCTTGGCAGCGGGCGTAGATAAGTTTCTGGTACCGTCGAGCTGCACAGTGGAGAAGTTTTCTCAATGGTTTCCAGACTCGAATAACTACTTCGTTCGTTGGTCCAAGCACTTGGGGTGCTCCAAGGTATCTGACCTCGCGAAGAAGTTGAAATATAAAGGCCCGCTTCATTTGCTTTCGATGTATGCTTGCTTGTACACCGATTCCTTGTTTCTGTGCCGCGATGCGAAGGAGTGCAGAAAGAAGGGGGTCTTGAAGACTATCAACAAGCACCGGAAGCTGAACAAAAATTGGAAGGGGCGCGAGGGCCACCCGGCCGCCGTGTGCGAGGACGCCTTCGCGGAGATCGATGGCTGAGCCGTGGGGGTGCATAGACGCCTGTGGCATGCCCCAAAGAGGGCAGCGGGGGGGCGAGGAACGGGGCGGATACGAAGGAGGAGTAGCGTTCCGCAAAGGAATGCGGGTGGGATTCCAGGGCGGATTCCGGGCGGAATTCTGGTCAGAATCCGGGGCAGGATTATGTGCAGGATTCTGAATGTGGCCCTGGACAGAATTCAACTAGAATTCATTATAGTTTTCTGGATCTGGTTCTACGTAGCGTTCCGGATCGTGCAGCAACAGGAATTCGAGCAGAGCATCTATTAGACCTATCAAAGTCCTGCTCCCAAGAGCCATGCGTGGCCTCTGCGGCAGGGAGAGCCGAGTTGGAGTTGCGTGTATGACATTGCGAAAGTCTATTGTTGTGCCATTGCATGAGGAACGGAGAGACAGCAAAGCTCTCTGAGAAAAAACCTGCGGCTAGCGGAGTTCTGCGTTTCACCCTGCCGAACTTTACTGTTTCGCTATTGCCAGAGAACGTGAGAGGATACGAAGGTATCGAAGGAGAATCATCGACAGGACATCTGCGTGAAAAATTACGACGCCGATTATGTGGTTGGCCCCAAATGCATGATATGCCGTGGTGCCGGGGGCCCGGGGCCACTGGGGCCGTCTTGGAGGCCTTTTGGGTGAACGCGAAGGCGTCTTGGACCCTCTTGGGCCGTCCCCGAGGCCATCTTGGACCATCTTGGGGGAGCTTGGAGGCAATCTGGAACCCCCATCTTGAGACATCTTGGACGCTCGAACGGGTCGCGGCCTCCAATGCGAATCAAGTAGCCTGGATCAGGGAGAACGCGTATCGTCGTGGACTTCCCTGGAAGTACAGTATTCTACGTATCCCGGATTTTTCCCCCGAGCTGTGTCCGCGCAGCTTCGGGGGACAAATGCGCGATGCCAGTTCTGCGTCGTCTTGAAGGCTTCTGGGGTCGTCTTGGAGATCTGTCGGGTGAACGTGAAGGCGTCTTGGGCCCTCTAGGGCCGTCGCCGAGGCCATCTTGGACCATCTTGGGCGAGCTTGGAGCAATCTGGAACCATCTCATCTCCAGGGACATCTTGGACGCTCTTACGGGTCGCGGCCCCCCATGCGAATCAACTAGATTTGATGAGGGAAAACACGTGTCGTCGTGGACTGCCCTGGAAGTACAACTTTCTACGTATTCCGAATTTTTCCCCCGAGCTGTGTCCGCGCAGCTTCGGGGGAAACATGCGCGACGCCAGTTCTGCGTCGTAGTAGGAGAGCGGAGGGAGAGACGGAATAGTAAGACGAGGAGGAGAAGGAGGAGGAGGAGGGGGAGGGGCAGGAGAACGAGGACCATCTTGAACCATCCTGGACCGCCCTTCCGCCGCTACAGACGCACGCGGGTGGTGCAGCGTACGATGTAGTAGACATTCAGGCTGAGGCCACGTGGGCTTACTCCCTGTGAGTTTTCAGCAAGGCCGCCCTCGTCGACGTCGCCGACGTCGTCGTCCATTCTGTGAGGGAATTTCAAGGCTCTCTGAACATTGTAACTAGTCAGTGGTCATGCGGCTCTTTGTAACTAGCTGGTGGCCCCGAGGAGCAGCGACGACTGGACAGCTCGCGGCCCTGGCCCTGGCCAGTCTCTCTTTCTCTCTCTCTCTCTCTCTCTCTCTCTCTCTCTCTCTCTCCCTCTCTCTCTCTCTCTCTCTCTCTCTCTCTCTCTCTCTCTCTCTCTCATTTTTTTTCCCCATCTCCCTCTCTCTCTTTCTCTCTTTCTCTCTTTCTCTCTTTTCTCCTCTTTCTCTCTTCTCTCTTTCTCTTCTCTTTCTCTCTTTCTCTCTTTCTCTCTTTCTCTCTTTCTCTCTTTCTCTCTTTCTCTTTTTTTTGTTTCTCTCTCTCTCTCTCTCTCTCTCTCTCTCTCTCTCTCTCTCTCTCTCTCCACTCTTCCCACTCTCTCTCTCTCTCTCTCCTCTCTCTCTCTCTCTCTCTCTCTCTCTCTCTTCTCTCTCTCTCTCTCTCTCTCTCTCTCTCTCTCTCTCTCTCTCTCTCTCTCTCTCTCTTCCCTTCCTCGCCCCTCCGCTGCCGTCTCCTAGCCCTGATCCTGCGATATCACCCCCCTCCTCCCTCTGCTGCGGGGGTCCCGCGGAGTACGGCGCGAAGGATTGCAGCGCAAATTCTCGCCCTCAGGTTGTTGCGGCCGCGGCGCTCGCTTTTCACATTTCCCCCAAGTCGAAAGATATAGCGCCTCTCTCTTCGCGCCGCGCGTACGAATCCGCCGCGCGAGTCGCAGGTGCCGCGCGGCTTGCGCTCCGAGCATAGGTGGCGCCAGGACTCGCCCTCAGGCTACGTCGACTCCTCCTCCTCCCCCTCCTCCTCCTCCTCCTCTTCCTTTTCTCCATGTCGTTTATGGCGCCCAATGTGTTAGTGCCGCTCTCCGAAGAGAAGGGGAGAGGATGGGGTCGCAGTCGTCATTGCGGGGGCGGGGGGGGGGGGGGGGGGTAGAACATCTCGAGAGAAGGCCGCGTGGCGCGCGCGGGCACGAACCGGGAGTGGAAGGGGGGGCGGAGTGCAGGGGGGGGCCAGCGCGACGCGCGCTATCGGATTGGCAGGCGCCAAGCTCTTCTTTTTGCTTGGGCCCGTCCACGTGCGAACTCCCATCGTGCGCCTTGCAGTGTCGAGGCGATTCGCTCGGCAACCTGAGGTGCTGCCAATTAGCGTCAGCCTTGGCAATCCACCAGAAACCTGGAGGCGGAGCCCCAAAACGCATAGGGGGTCGATCGCCCGCCCCTCTTGGGGCCCTCTTGGAGGCCTCTCTTGGGGCCTCTTGGGGCCATCATGGGGCCATCTTGGCGCCTCTCGGGGCCTCCTGGGCGCCTCTTGGGGCCATCTTGGAGGAGATCGATCAAAGAAGAGGGTGGAGTTAATTAGCGCCGCCCCTCGGGGGCTTCTAAAATCGCCTCCTGGACAGCTCTTGGGCTGCTCGTGGAGCGTCTTGGGCGCTCTTGGGGCCGTGTTGGGGCTCTCTGGGGCATCTCTTGGGGCCCTCTTGGGCCGTCTTGGAGCCGTCTCCAGGCCTCGGATGGCCATCGGAAGCGAAAAGGCGAGAAGGCAAACCGCATTTTTTTATATAAAAAATATTATTATTATTATTATATATATATATGTATTTGAAGGACTTTGGCCTCTTGGAGGCCCCCTTGGGAAGCGATTTTGCTTTTTGGAGTCGTCTTGGGGCGGTCTTGGGGCCTCTTGGAGCATCTTCGGAGCCATCTTGAGGCGTCGTAGGCTATCTTGAGCCGTCTTGGAGCTCATGTTGGGCTCTCCGGGGCGCTCTTGGAGCCATCTTGGGCCATCTTGGACGCTCCAATCGGTCGCGAACCCCCCCGTCCAGGTCCAGGGGATGGGGGTGGGGGGAGGGGTAAACCCTCCCCCGAAGGGGAAGAAGGGGGTTGGAAGAGGAAGCTCCCTAGACCACCTACGCCCAGAGGGCTGATGGGATTTCCACACCTTGTGGGTAGGATGAGGAAGAAAGGGGGGGCGGATGTGTAATTTCAGATGGCGCGGACTCGCCCGCCCGCGAGTTCCCGACGTGCTCGGGCGTCATGGTGTCCCGCCACCGTGCCTGGATTGTGGGCGTGAAGTCTCTTGGATGTTTGTTAAGGCTTTGCGCGGAGCCTCTCAGGGTGACTTTCGGAGGCAGGTGTGCGCCTTCTTCGAAGTTTTGTTTTGTTGTTTCCTTTCTGGACCTGCTGGGGGCTGCTTGGGTGCCTCTGGGGGCTTCTTGGGCCTCTCGGTGTCTCTTGGCAGGCTCCAGTGGCCCTCTGGGGGCGGAAGATTCGGATCGAGTTGTAATTGTCCGCCAGGGCCCTGCTGCACAATTATCGTTTTAAACTCTCCTGGGTTGGTTGGGCCACCACTCAAACCGTTCTGGGTGTCTCTGGGGTACTGATGGGCTCTCAATCCTTTGTCGTTGGCTCGACATGTTGTGAACAGCTTCCCGCGTGGCTCGGCATTGCTGGCCTGTTCTGTTTCCAATTCCCGTGCTTGGATCAGTTTTGCTGTCCTGTTCTTTAACTTCTGTAACTATGACCGCCGACGACCAGAGCGTTGCTGCCACCCAGGTTATGAGCCAATACTCGGCTGGGCTGGCCGAGTCTATAGAGCGGGCGGCTGCGCCGCTTTCTCCAGTCGGGCGCGGCGAGCCGCCTGGCGGGCCTGCCGACGACGCGTGCGCGCGCGTGATATCCGTGCTAACGAACGCACCCGGTGGCCCGCCGCATGTTGCAGCCGGTGCCGTCGGGGTTGTACCTGCCGACATGCTGTGTCTGTATCACTGTTGCAATGCTGCTTCGGACATGCCTTCGTGGTTGCTGGGCAGACGGGCGTCTGGTTGCGCAGTCGCAAGGGAAAGAGTTGCCGCGGACGAGGCGCGCGCCAAGGAGCTCCGGGATCGCTTCGCGCAGATGGCGCGCGACGCAGGGGGCGAGGCCACTGCTAGCAGGCTGCTGGGGACCGGGCAGGGGGCGTGCCCGGGCGTCGACGACGCGAGATATTTCTGCGAGGTCCTGGGCGGCCAGATCGTCGTCGTGCACTGCGAGAACGAGGCGAACTCTGTTCAGAGCGTCTACGGCGAAGGCCCGTTGACAGCGCTTTTTCGGCTTCATAAGCAATCATCTGGGGGCGGGCACGAGGTCGACCATTTGTCGTGTCTGCAGAGTTGGGTTCCGCGAGTTCCAGAGGCCTGTGCGTATGAGAGCGAGCGCGAGGATGCGCCCGCCGATCCGACTAGCGACGAGAGCTCCATACAGCGACGGTTGAAACTTCCAGGCGCAGCTACAAGCAGTCCTGAATTCGACGAGTTCATGATGGAGGTGGAGAGCGAGCGGAGCTGGTTGGAAAATTTAACGCCAGACCCTGATCCGCCTGCTCAGAGCATGCTCGTGCAGACGGAGGCGGTGAAGGCGCTCATAGAGAAGAAATACGCCTCTTGGGACCCGTACCTGAGGCGGATTGTCCTGGGGGCGCTAGTTATGTATCGATGCCGGCTATCCGACATCTACGTTCGAGAGTACGTCATGATGATGCACATCGTACTTGGCGGTGACTACCTCGTCGCCCACGACGGGATCATGTATTTCTGGAATGGGAATATTCGGTTCTTCGAGAAGTGCGAAGGTCTCATGCCAGAGATTGTGTATGCTGCTCTGAAGGAGTACCTCTTGACATTAGAGGGGCTCTTCCGGTCGTTTACTGGCGACCTTCGGCGGGATGACGAGGCCGCGCTGTCCGCTATCGAGGGGTCGTTGGAGAAGAGCGGGCCGGAGGCGAAGAAGGCGTTCGCCGCGTGGCGCGACAGCGCCATCTTCAACAGAGGAGGCAGAGGCTTTGGCAAGGGCGGCGGCATGGGAGGCGCGGGAGACACTGCGGTAGAATTCGATGGCCTCACGCAGACGGAAGCGCATGGACTGGAGGGAGATGCGCCCGCGCTGGCGGACGACAGCGCCGCGCGCAGCGCGCCGTGGTACATTGCGATCGCAGTGGGCGTTGCCCGAGTTGGGCGAAGCTTACAGATCCAGATGATTCAGAACAAGCTGCCGTCGTTCTATTGCGAATGGTGCGAAACTCCGCGCCCCTCCTACCGGGGCGTCGCCCGCCCCGACATCGCGTTCGTCTACGACCAGGGCGGGCGCCCGATGAAGCAAATCGCAAAGGAGAGTGAACGCAGGAGCATATACATCGGCATGCCGCACAAAATCCAGGCTTATTTGGGCGACCCAGCGTTGGAGGCGGCCGCGAAACGATTGGATCAGTTCTACCGGCAGACATTCTGGGCAAACGCCGCCGCGCACAAAGTGTGCATGGCCGCCCTCGCCCTGGCGAAGAGAGGGTTGAACGTCGACCAGCTGTTCTTCTTCTGGGGGGCTGGCGGCGTCGGGCTTTCGCTGACGACGGCCCAGCTCGACGCCATGCTGGGGCGCTCCAACCACAAGTATTTCGACCCGCAGGTGTTCTATCTGGACGAGGAGATGCGGAAGACGGTGGAGTCGCTCAAGGGCGCAATCGTCCTCACGGCACAGGAGAAGCCAGAAGGCTTGAAGAAGAGCTTCCGGGAGGACTTGTTCAAGAAGCTGGCGTCTGCCGATGGCATTTTTGGTCGACTCCCGTATCAGATTTTGACAAAGGTTATATATCTGATCGGGTGGGAACGCATGGAGCTAAATAAGCTCATCACTTACGACGGAGTCACTGAGGGTGCACTCCACGCAATTTACCGGAGGTCTCTTCTGATCAAGATTTTCGCTAGGTTTGTCGATGCGGAGTACATCAGGCGCGCCTTACCGAACGCGGAGAAGTACGGCATCTTCCCGCGGGCGCCGGATCTGAAGCCATTCATGCAGTCGGGGCCCGCCATCGCCGCTGGTCTGCAACGACAGCTAGGCTTCGAGCGGAAATATTGCGAAGCCGCAGCGAGGTCGGTGATAGACGACTACTGCCTGCGCGGAGGAGATCACGGGCTCACGGAGAAATGCATGCGACAGGCGTGTCTTCTTCCGGCGACGAAGCAGCCGCAGCCTGGCGGCCAGAGAAGCGCGGCTGCCCCGCCGCCCGGCGCCGACTTCGACGTCGGAGTGGGCGGATCGCAGGAGACGGAAGAGCCCATGGCGCAGCTGCGCCGCCACGTCATTAATCAGATGCTCGAGCGGAGCTTCGACGCCTTGACGTTTCCATATTTCAAGCAGATGCCGGCAGGGCAGGTTCAGGGCGTGCCGGAGAGGAAACCGATTGTGTGGAGGGCGATGGAGTCCGCCGGGTGGTCGAAGGCTGGTCTGTATGGCAAAGCGAAGGACCGTTTTTTACCGAAATTGTTGACCGCCCGCAAGTTCGATGATTTTGTGCCGGCGCCGAACTTGGATGAGCCGACCGTGCTCCCGGAATAGTGGGGCCGCGCGGCGCTGAGCTGCTACGCGAACGGCAACGCTTGTCGCAAGCGCAACATCGACATCGTGATTGAGGCCCTAGGTGCCGTCCCAAAGCCGCGCGGGCGGAAGAAGCGCGGAACGGAGACCGAGATGGGCGGCGACGCCCATCTGCGCGCGGTCGGCGCGCCCATCCAGGCAGGAGAGCTCGCTCTGGAAGGGTTGCTCGAGAGCATGCGCGGGCGGCCGACCGTGGTGCCCGCCGACGCACCAGCGGAGAAGAAGAGGAAAATCTCTGCGAAGAAGAGCCTCAGCGGTGGCGCCGACTTGGCAGAGCGCAGCATTCCCTACACGTATAAACGCGCAGCGGCCCGTCGCTTTGCGGAGGGCACCGGCGGCGCAGGGGTGCCCGGCGTGCGTTCTACATCCGACGTTGCAAGGCACCGTGGATCTCGACATCCACAGCGCGGTCCTGGTCATCACTTGGCAGCTCGTGGAGAAAATGGACATGGACGACAAGGGCCTGTTCAGAGAGGAGGTTGAGTTGTTGAAGCGGCTGGCCGAGGACAGGGGCGAGGTACTGCGCGGCGAGTTGCCGGACATGGGGCCCGAAGCGGCCAAGCGCTCCGTACTCGAGACCATCGGCGGGTCCCATTCTTTTGACGTCGATGCCGAGCCCTTCGCCAAGAAGTTGCAGCGCGTGAGCCGCGTGCTGCGGTGGCTGGCGTGATCGGAGTTGCCCGAGATATACGAGAGCTTCTGCCAGGACGCCGCGCAGGGCGACGGCGAGAAGACAGAGAAGTGGCCGGAGGGGCAAACGTTCTCGACTTTCTACCAGCGCGCGGAGGACTACATCCTCCGCCAGTGGCAGGCGTGGGTGCTAGCGCACCCGGTGAAGCATTTGTCCCTGCATTTCGACGGCGTCAGGGTCAGCAGGGGCGCGGTGCTCGCCAACCATGCCACCGTGGCGGACTACGCCGCTGACGCGAGTGCTTACATCGCGAGGGAAACAGGCTTCGTAGTCAAAATCACAGGGAAGACCCACCCGACGATCGCGGAGGCACTCACGAGCTGCAAGGCGTGGCGGCCAGTGGAGGCACCAGCGGCGCCCAACGACCTACTGAAGCCAGGCAATGGCATTCTGTTGGCGTTGTGGCGATGCGGCGATGCCAGGGTGTCCACGTCCGTTGACTCTGGCGCCTGCGCCACGTCCGTGGAGAACAATGCTGCCGGCGTGGAGAAAGGGAGGACGTATGCGGAGTGTTGCCTGGAACACGGCGTGTCAGCGACGCCGCAGCTGGGTTTCGATGCTTGCGTGAAGGGCCACTATCTTCTCCACATGGATGGGGGCGGTTCGCCATCGTGCGCACTCGTCCACGTGGGGGCTGAGCTCGACAAGGCGACGGTTTATTTTCATGGCAAAGCCGGCGAGGTGAGTCTGGCAGCGGTCCATGATGCCGTCCTCGCCGGGCGAGACTCGAGGCTAGCAGTCACGTTTCACGTTGATTTATCTCCGGCGGCGCAGGCGGCCGCCGATGGCAGCGGCGACGCCGAGCGCTTGGAAGCGCTCTTGAATATGATGGCGCGAGGCCCGGGGCAACGCATTCTGTTTCACAGCCCCTCGCTCCGCCGGGGCCCTCGGGGCAACGGGCCCCGTCGCATTGACCATTGCTTCGCCGATCCGCACAGCTGGCGCCCTGGCTTACATCCAGTAGGGGAATGAAAAGTCAAACAATATTCGCATCCATTCATCGCCATGCTAGATATGGACTCATGCGTTTTCAGAATAGACTTGGAAAAACCAATTTACATCGATGTTATGAGCAGCTGTCTTCACAGGTGTATCTGCGTGCCGTCTCGGGCGCCGTTCGCCGCGTCTGCTCAAGTCACATCTGGTACGTGGGTCGGCATTGCCGCCCTGTGCTCTCTTCGCTTCATATATGCCCGTATCCCCCCGTGGGTCGGCCTTGCCGCCCTGTCACTTCAACGCCCCGCCGCCCGATGCCCGGCATGTGCGAGGCGCCCGCGTTTGTCGAAGACGCCGATCCGCGCGGAAGGCCACTGCGATGTGTTTCTGGAGTCAAACGGTCCATTGAGTATGTATCCGTCCAGCTTCTGAGCAGCACTGGAGAGCTGGGAGATGCTGAGAGGCCCGCGACCCCAGACCCCTACCTGCCTGGCGTCAGCAAGCGGCAGTGGGAGGCCAAGGTTGCTGCTTGGCGCAATGAGATGTCCCGACTTCTTGACGAGGTGCCGGCTGGTGCGACGGAATTGGCGGCTGCCGATGAGCTCGGCGTCTGGATAGAGCCTTCGCCGCCCGCCGTGCGCGGCTGTCGCGCGCTCCTGCAAGCTGGAAACAGCATCCTGCTCGCCTGCAGCATCCTGACGCGGGACTTCCGCGGCTGCATCGATTATTGCGCACGATTTCCTGTGCTTGGGGATGCGGAGCGTCGCCACGCCGACGTCGCTGAGCATTTCGGCTTCTCATTGACCGCCGTGCGCCCGCAAGCTGCGCGGCAGGGCGCTTGCTCACTCTTGCCCGGGAAGTATTTCTGTCATATGAGGGGCCACTGCTGCGCTGCAGCTGTTCTCCCAGGGGCATCTTCGGCGATCGTGTGGAGAGGATTCAGCCGGCGCGTTCTGCCGACGGCGCAGCGGGTCCGCCGCGTCGAGGAAGTCGAGGGCGCGTTGTTGCACATCACTGACAGCAGTGACTGCACACTCGACGTCGATTTGACAACTGGGCGGAGATCGCGGGAGACCGCGGCCGATGGGCGCGTCATGGGCGCCGACGACGATCCGCTGGGAGGCATGGTGCATGGGGACGAGGGATCCAATGCATGTCTTAGCTCTGCTCTGAATGCGTTGGGGGCACAGGTGCCGACCGGCGTGCAGGGCCCATTCCGTGCGCTCGAGCACGGGAACCAATGGCTGTCACATCTCGGCCTCGCCCTGATCCGGCAGCCTCGGGGCCCGACCGGTCCGGGGCGTTACGTCGGGTGGGGGCCGCCGCGGCGCCCTGGGCCGCGCGGCGCGAAGCGCGTCGGCCACTTCACAGCCGTTCTACTGCGGCCAGGCGGCGCCACTGTGATAGACCGCCGAACAGGCCTGCCAGCGATTCGCGAGTGGCGAGCGTGGAGCGACATTCCGGACGTGGAGGAGCACAAGTGGTTCTTGTTGGTGGAGCTCGGCGCGCGGGGGCCAGGGCCCGAGGGCGGCCGCCCTCTTCCATGGGGCACGACTTCGGATGTGATCGAAACTCACCGGCTGGACGCGCTCATCCGTCGGCGCGCGGCTCGCGAACGAGCGGCCCCCTATGGGCGGGCTTTGTCGTTGGGCTCGCTCGCGCCGCAGGAGGCGGCCCGAGTATCAGCACACCGAGAGGAGGCAATGCGGCGCAGATCTCCGCGTCTGTTTTGCCCGTTGCCGCCAGTGGGGTGGCCTGGCACTCAGGTGCCGCCAGTCCCGTGCGAGTTCGCACTCGAGCTGCCGCGTCTTCCGAAGATTCGCTTACTCGAGCGGCTCAACGCTCACCCACGGGACTCTCAGTTGCACTTCGTCGAGGAGTCGCACTCCTACTACATTCGCGGCGCGCGAACGCATGGGTCAGTCACGGGTTTGATACACGAGTACTCTAGTGGTTTCGACGCTTGCGCAGTGATTGAGAAGATGCGGAACGGGCGGAACTGGCCGCGACCGGATTATTTGCGCCACCCTTGCCCGGAAGACGCGGTCGTGGCGCTGCGGGCCGCGCCGGAGGCTGCTCGCCTCCGCGAGTTACTTGTGTCGCACGGTGCCTGCGACGCCGAGATCTGCGCCGAGGTGAAGGCCACTGCGAGAGCGGCTCCCCGCCTGGCATGCCTGATGGGGAGTTTATCCCTCTCGGATCCGGAGATCGTGGAGAAATTGCGCCTGAACAAGGAAGAGGCGGTTAGGCGGGGCACCTGGATGCACTGGACGTTCGAGGCCCACATCAACCGCGTTCTGGTACCCCACGACGCCGTGGAGTTCCAGTTATTCCTGAAATACTTGGGCGCGCTGAGAGGTCTGACGGCTTTCCGCGCCGAGTGGGCCATATTCGCCGAGCACGAGGGGCTTGCTGGGTCAATCGATTTCGTGGCTCGAGACTCCGCGGGCAGCTTGTGCATATGCGATTGGAAGCGGGCGAAGAATTTACGTTCAAAGTACACGAACTCGTGGCATAATATGAAGTTTCCATTGAGCCGATGGCCAGACTGCCAGGGTAACCATTACCGGGTGCAGCTCAACATTTACAGGTGGATGCTGGAAAGTTACTACGGCGCCCGCGTGGCTGCGATGTATGTGGTCTGCCTGTATCCGGACAACGGCGACCAGCCATTCGTGGGCGACGTGCCGGTGATCCCAGAGATCGAGGAGCTCATGGCCATTCAACGCACGAGGTCCCGAGAGTTGCGAGCCATGGCATCGGAAGACGCCAGCGAGATGGACCCTCTGGGCGGCTGGCCGCGGCCAGTCGTAGCGGCGCGCTTGCCTTAATGCGTGCGCACCGCGGCCAATTTCGATCGTGCGTTTCGCCGGCCCGCAGTGGAGGTCGCGCCCTGGCGAGGCCGTTGCGATTGCGCGCCGCCTTCATGAGGTGCCGTTGCGCTGGCGCTCAAGCTCTGCGGAAGTAGTGGTGCGATAACGCAAGATAGAAAACAGTATTTGGTTGTTCGGATAAATGCGTTTGCCAGATAACAGTTCCGCGAGGTAACAGGTTTTCCAGATAATGCGAATTTCAGCAGAGGCCTGTGTCACAAGTAGTACCAGCACGGGTATATGCTGCAGTCGTCGTCGCAGTAGTACTCAGCACAGAGCAAACCGTAGCTGTTTTTCTCTCAAGGACCATCGCTTTGGCGTGGCTCGGCTTTGCCGGCCTGTCATTTAACTATCTGCATCGCTAGCCCATGCCGGCCTGCTGCGCTGCCTCGTGGAGGATCGGCATTGCTGTCCTGTGAGTTGTCCTGTACTTTGGCGCAATGGCCACCGACGCGCAGCGCGCTGCCGGCTCCCCGTTTCTGAGCTCGCAGTCCCCTGAGCTGAGCGACCCCACGCCGCGCGGGAGGCCTCGCCAGCGGCGCGCTTACTCTGGCGCCCGCTCGCTGACGCCGGCGCGCAAGAAGCATCGACTGTCCTCGCGGGCTGCGCGCGCGGCTGCAGCGCGAACCCCTTCATCGTCTCCGGAGAGAGACGACGCCGCTGACATCGAGGCTTTCGCGCTGATGGTATCAAGGGTCTCAGATGAAACATTACATTAAATTCTATTATGTCATGCTTCCCTGCCGTGCGGAGACGGACATTAGCGCGTCGTTTCGCACGGGGTCAACAGATTCGCCAAGACAGAACGTATATACTCGTGAGGCCGGTCAGTTCGAGCAGGCCCAGGGCCTCGCGTGGCCCGCGCGGCGCCGGAGTGCCCGGAGTCCTTGCTGTTGTGCCTCGCTGGTTTCAGTCTGCCAACGCAGAACTTGCCTCGGCGACAGCCCCGAGCCCAGTTCACGATCGCTGTTTCATTTGCGGGTTGGATGACGGCGACGTCGACGGCATCGGCCACTATCTGGAGGGGTGCGTGGCCACGGTGAGATCATTTCCGTTCCCAGAAGTTACCCATTTGCGCTCGACGACCTCCGCGTGGGCCATGTTGGCGCAGCGATTGGAACCTCACGGCGACGTATTCGCGTGCGCGCGGTGCAGCGGGGTCTGCGTCGCCTGGGAAGACACCCTGAACATAGATTTCGCTTCCGATATGCTCAGACTGCACAGGCGACAAGCGGTTTGAAAACAGGGACGTGAGCCGACTCGCGCCCGCGATTGGACTCAGGGAGACGCGGCGGCGCCGGCGCCATTGCGCGGGCCCCCGTCGAGCTCGGGCCGCGATTTTCGATCGCCACTTTGCGCCGACAAAAGCGCAACATCTCCATCATATCTGGATTCTCTTCCCGCCTTCCCATATGTCAAACGTGGCGTGGGGCTGTCAAGTCGCTCGATATCCCCACTAGTCGAGCTCTTACACGTTCGACGTCAGTGCCACTGATGGATCGTTGCTTATCTCTCCTCATCGCTCTCCGGCTCAAGACACGCGTTTCCCGTGGGTCGGCTTTGCCGCCCTGTGCTTTCTTTGTCGTACCACCTGTGGGTAGGCTTTGCCGCCCTGTTTTTTGTTCTACCACCTCCCCGCACTATCTCACATGCGCGGCGCACTCGCTCAGCAGGAGCGGGACGCTGCAAGGCTCGCGCCGGCGCCGACTCGGAGACGGATCAGAGGCAAGAGCGCGGCGGACGACGTCGGCGAGAGCTGGGTGTGCCTCGCGGCCGAGCAGCGCGAGCCCCGCGAGCTCGCGGACGTGGGCTCGGCGGAGACACCTGAATCCCCGAGCGGCGACGAGGGTGAGACAGCGGTGCGGACACAGTTGTTCGACTGCCTGGAAAAGGAAGTCAAGAGCTACTCTGCCGAGGTGAAGCTCCTGCGCCCCAAGCGGGACAGCGAGGGCGTGCAGTTGAAATTTGCTTGCGGTTTATGTCCGTTCCGGTCGTTCTCGACGCAGGTACTCCTGGCCGCGCACGTCTCGAAGTACCACCTCAGAAAGACGCGCTTCGTGGCCTCTGGCACGAAGGAGTTCAATGTCGTGTGCGCGTTGTTCGACAACGACCGGCTTCTGCGAGCTCCAACGGGGGGCCTTCTGAGGCAGTCTGC